GAATATTTTGCGAAAAACCGCGTACTCTGAGGTATTAGTCAGTCGGGGCGTTACAGATGGCGTCAAGACATCGTCGTGAAATGAAGGTATGTGTCGCTCCAGTATCAAACAAAGCAAACACAGGAACATTATTAAGAATAACCATTCCGGACATGGTACCTGGCTGCTGCTCGGCCTCTGCCTGATCGATGGCATAAACTCTGGCCTGCTGTCTACCTCTCTGCTGCTGCTGCTGAGGCTGCCTCTGCGCCTGCTGACGGGGCTGCTGCTGCTGTGGTGGCTGCTGAGGCTGTTGAGCCTGCTGAGCCTTCTTCGAACAACGGTTCGCAAAGTGTCCGGCCTCGTGACAATAGTAGCACACATCCTGACCAAAGCGACACTCGCCTCGGTGAAGTCGTCCACATGTCGGGCACTATGGAATCTGCTGTAGCCTCCGTCGGGCCCTCTTATCTGCCTGGGCACCTTTATCCTTCCTCTTGTTGTTCTTGGGCGGCTGGGTAGATGGTAAAGCTGACATCGGTGGAACTGAAGACGACTGAGCAGGGACGGATGGATGAATCTGACTGCGAACTGCCACCCTCCTAAGGCTAGCATCCACCTCCTGAGCAATGGAGACTGCACGTGCATATGTCTGTGTCCTGTGGCCTACGATGTTATGACGGACTGCTGGGTAAAGCCCGTCAATGAAACGCTGCACTCGCTGGGCCTCCGTGCGGACCAAATCAGGAACGAAAGCTACAAGTCTCGTGAACTCTCTCTCGTACTCGTCGACAGTACGAGTACCCTGCTGGAGCGATAGAAACTGACGCTCCATCTCTGCTCGGTAGTATGTGGGATAGTACTTCTCACGGATTAACTCCTTGAGCATCTCCCACGTACATCCCGCTTTCTCACCGGGACGCATGCTCCAGTAAGCGTTCCACCAGAGCCTGGCATCACCGGTGAGCTGAAGCTGAGCGCAAATGACGCGATATCTCTCAGGGCACTCCATGACCTCGAAGATAAACTCCATACCCTGAATCCACTCGTCAACTACGCGTGGATCTCCTTGCCCTGAGAACTTTTCCGCATGGTAGTCGCGGAACTGGGCGACCACTGTAGCCTGAGTAGGAGCCGGATGATCGGGTTCACTACGTGGCGGCATCTAAACATTGAAAAAGTTCAAAATTACATGATGATTTTCTGACTGATTACTAAGGCACACAGATCTCTTGACGAGTTGCCAAAAATGGCCGATAATTACTGACATGAATCCTGACGAACTCTAGAGTTATATCGAAAGATACTAAAGTCTAGAGTCATATTTGAATGCCCTGAATTCTAGAGTTATGACCGAGTGTACTGATCCCTAAAGTCTGAATCTGATTCGAGCGTCTTAACTAAGTCTGATTACTGATTTCTGAGCATAGACAAAATAATATGTTTATAACTGAAAAGCTGAATCAGCACTTACCTGGAGTCGGCGAGGCGTGAGCGTGACGGTTCAGGTTTTCCTCAAAATTTTTGACTGAAAAATTTTTCAGAGACGCAAAAACGTGCGCTCTGATACCAAGTTGTAACACCCCGACTTACTATTACATCAGAGTACGCAATTTTTCGCAATTTTCTGAATAAATGAATAAAATACTTATTTTGCGAAAACTGATTCGGGGGCTACCGTGAAAAACTTGATTTTCTGAAAACCGTTAAAATTTAAACTGATACATTAAAACTGTCATAATGTCTTATCCGACTAATGTCGGAGCAAAGTCTGATAATAAGTACTGAAAAGTTTTAGCGGAAACATAGCGTGGTTCAACATAAAATACAATAATCATAAATGTCCTGAACAGCTCGCCCGCTCACTCCTCGTCCCCGACCCTGCGACCTGAAAAACATGAAAGGTGTGAGCGTGAGCACTAAAACACTTGTGCTCCGCAGAAACTCATGCTAATGTAAAACATCGTAAATAATAACAATATCATGAACTAAGCATATACAACTGAACTGAATCTGAAA